TGGACGAGGCGGAACGATTGGGGAGATTGTTTTTGAGGGAAAAAGATTTTTTTTTTTTAACGAAAAGTTTGAAAACTTTTGGTTTTTTTTTTTTTAACGTTATAATGCTTAACATCTATAGCATTGTAACGTTTCTCTCTTTGAGATCTTTGTTTCTGGAAAGAGCGAGTGCATAAGATTGTTCTTAACCTATTTATTTGAAAATTTCCATTAGACCAGGTTCTTGGTCGTTTCTCGATTAACGACTCTCGGCTCGCAAGAAAGGCTCTCGTGGAGACGTGTCTTGGTCACGCGTTGCGATCAGAAATTAGATGACAGAAGCATGTTTCCATAACGGTAAACAAAGAAGGACGGATTGTCGCATTAGATCGTGGCAAAAAGAACGAATTACACGAAGCTAATAACGAACGCTCCATAACGGGACGCTCGTGCTTTTTTAAATTTCGCGCGCTTCGAGATTAAACGCTGGCATGGAAATGGAACGAGTCATAACGCGTTTTATAAGTATAAGAAAGAAAGAAAAAAAAAAAAAAGGGAACAAAAACGAACAACAAATTTTAAAATTACACTCTCACGAAGCAGATGAAGTTTAAACGATCCACGGATCGTTTTATTATCTTGTTGTCTTTACGTGATTATCGCTCGAAACGACATTGAAATGAGAAAAAGAAAATATATATATACATATATATATATTTCATCATCCTTATCAAAATTTCGAAATCGTTTTTCGTCGGATCATCGATGTTTAAAATATTCCTCGCTAATTTACGATATTCTCGTACAACTTCATCGTAGAAAACGATTCACGGGCGAGGATCGAAGGGAATTTGTCGATTGTTAGACGAGTTAACCGCTTGGAAAGCAGTTCTCGCAGATCCGTCCGGTGTTAATTAACTTTGTTATGCCTTGTTTTTTTTTCGCTGACTGTGAAACGGCGAATCGAATCCCGCGAAACGAAAAGAAAGTTTGCTCGCGAAGCAATTTATGCGTGCGCTGAACGAGCCACGTGCACGGTCGTTATAACTATCTTCGCGTTTTTTTGCAACTGGAAGACGCACACGTGTTCCCTCGGCGATTTTAAAACGAATATGTTCTTAAGATATATGTATTTTGTTCGCGTTAAATGTTGACTCGAATTACAATTAACATTTATATACATTTTTATATATATATATATATATATATATATATATATATAGAGAGAGAGAGAGAGAGAGAGAGTA